GGGGCTGCCCAGTGAATGAGGACACGAATTTGATGAGGGCAGCTCTGCAGAAACCCCGGAGGGGGGCGCTGGGCCGGTTGTGGACTCAGATTGTCTTGTGCCACTACCATCGAAATCATTATTTATCAGCAGAAAACAAAAGCAAACCTCAGCTGGAGGCATGGGAGAAGGTGGACCTGAGTTCGAATCTGAACTCAGCCAGTTGCATAACCTTGGCCAAGTCACTCAAGCTATGTGAGCCAACCTCATCTGTAGCACAGTAGGATGACAGTCCTCACCTCCTAGGGTGTGGCTGGTCCTGGCTCAGGGCCTGGGTACAGGGAGGACGTGCTGAGTGGTAGGTGGAGCATCACTCGTGGTGTGAGTGACTGTCTGGGCAGAGAAGCCAGAGGAGAAGCCCAGCCACGCTGCCCACACAGGGGCGGCCACCTGTCTACCCACTCCTTCCTCCAAAGGTCTCCTCTCTGGAACCCTGAGGATCCAAGAGTCACCAGGATTCCAGGACCTCCAGGATGTGTGGAGACACTTCCAGCGGCCCTTCCCTCCTTTAAGTCAGACTTGGACCCTTCGGCTCCCGTTCCTCAGCCTTGCTACTCCTGCCTGTACTAAGGGTTCATTTCGGTACCACGGTGGGGGGTGTGTGCATGTGGGTTCCAAGCACTGCGCCCTGTTGCTGACTCAGTATCCATGTGTTCTAGACATCAGATCATTTTCCCTCCCTCGTCACCTCCACACCCAAATCAGTGCATCAAGGGACAGCAGAAAGTTCTAGGCATGGAAAGCCTTTTAAGCAGCAGCATCTATTTGGGGGTACACACAGGCATCGATAAGGCCTGGCATTTGGACTTGGCTTTTTCCTGTGTTGCTGGGTGACCTTGGGCAGCTCACCAATGTGCTTGGCGAGTCGGTTTTTATGTTGGACCACTCAATACAGTAACAGTGACTAGAAGTGATGGAGTGGCTTGTGGCTTAAAGGAGGTGACTATCACCTAGGCCAGCCACTCAGATTCAAGACACAGGATTGGTTACTGCAACTATAAATGCTGTTAAAATATAACGACTTGAAAGTGACAATGTGCGATGTAAGTGCAATCTTATGTAGTGTAAGGTTAGTTCACATAGCGATAGTGTTAAAATATACCACAAGTCAATAAATAAGATTATATTGCCTTTTATTTTTATTTTTTAAATTTTTTTGAGATGGGGTGTCACTCTCTCACCCACGCTGGAGTGCAGTGGTACGATCTCGACTCGATGCAACCTCTGCCTCCTGGGCTCAAGTGATCCTCTCACCTCAGCCTCCCAAGTAGCTGGGACTATAGGCGTGCACCACCATGCCAGGCTAATTTTTGCATTTTGGTGGAGACAGCGTTTCACCATGTTGCCCAGGCTGGTCTTGAGCTCCTGGACTCAAGGAATCCACCCACCTCAGCCTCCCAAAGTGCTGGGATTAAAGGCATGGGCCACCATGTCCAGCCTTCGATTATACTGCCTTTTATAAGCTGCTTTTGGATCAGGTTGCTAACGCATCTGTGGCTTCCATGAAAGAATATATTGCATTTAAAAATCACAGTTACGGCTGGGCACGGTGGCTCACGCCTGTAATCCCCGCACTTTGGGAGGCCAAGGCGGGTCGATCACGAGGTCAGGAGATCGAGACCATCCTGGCTAACATGGTGAAACCCCATCTCTACTAAAATACAAAAAAAAAAAAAAATTAGCCAGGCTTGATGGCGGGTACCTGTAGTCCCAGCTACTCGGGAGGCTGAGGCAGGAGAATGGCGTCAGCCTGGGAGGCGGAGGTTGCAGTGAGCTGAGATGGTACCACTGCACTCCAGCCTGGGCGACTGAGCGAGACTTCATCTCAAAACAAACAAACAAACAAACAAAAAAACCACACAGTTACAGTGATTTGCTAGATTTTACCTCCAGTGAGGTGGGAGCCCAGAGGGTGCCCATCTGTGCAGAAGAGAGACAGGGTGTCACTGAGGGCTGACTGGGTCCTTGCTGGCTGCGGATGACAGGTGGAAGGGTGGAAGCAGGTCCAAGGAGAGGGGGCCTGGGGCTTGGTGGGGGTGGACCAGGAGGAGGCAGATGCTGGACAGAACACAAAGGTGAACTGCTGGGACTTGCTGCCCGCATAGCTGCCGGGGACAATGAGACAGGTGCTCAGGAAGACACTGCGGTTTATTGTTCAATACCTGAGATCCTGGCGACACTCAATTCCTTTGTGGTTTAAAAATCAACTCCTGCCCAAGCCCCACTCCAGGCAGACGTAGTTCTCCCGTGCTTGTCCCTCCATCCTCCATGTCACCCTCTCCTAGTCACTGCAACCGTGATCAATCCCTGGTTGTCACCTCAAACCTCAGTTTCTCCTGGAAGCTTTGCTGTCCCCTCCCTGGGGGTGCCCTGCCTCGTGCCCTCCTCCGCCACCTGTGACCCTCCCCCATACTTGGGGTATGTGGCCCGTGCTGGCACTTCTCACTCCCTGGTTTCGTCTACTCGGCTGGACTGGCAGCTGCTCACTGGCAGTCTGTGTAAGCAGCTTCCCCTGGAGCCCATCTCCAAGGTGTGATGGGACTCTCGCCCCCTGGAGGTGTGCAGCAGGCAGTGCTGGCGAACAGCCCTGAGTCCAAGCAGACTGGATGGTAGTAGGATTTTCCGGAACAGTGTCCCCTCTATTAGTCTTCCCAGCATGTGCCTGGGGTCCACACAATCTCAACCTGCTCATTACACCCACACTAAAGATTACAAAGGGAGCTCCTGCCCTGTTTTCTTTTCTTTTTTTTTTTTGAGACGGAGTCTCGCTCTGTCGCCCAGGCTGGAGTGCAGTGGCCGGATCTCAGCTCACTGCAAGCTCCGCCTCCCGGGTTTATGCCATTCTCCTGCCTCAGCCTCCCGAGTAGCTGGGACTACAGGCGCCTGCCACCTCGCCCGGCTAGATTTTTGTATTTTTTAGTAGAGACGGGGTTTCACCGTGTTCGCCAGGATGGTCTCGATCTCCTGACCTCGTGATCTGCCCGTCTCGGCCTCCCAAAGTGCTGGGATTACAGGCTTGAGCCACCGCGCCCGGCCCTGCCCTGTTTTCTTTACCTTCTGTTTTATTTTTGAGACAGGGCCCCACTGTGTTGCCCAGGCTGGTCTTGAACTCCTGGACTCAATCCATCTGCCTGCCTGAGCCTCCCAAAGTGCTGGGATTACAGGCATGAGCTGCTGTAAAAGCCCCACCAAGCTTTTATTCATTGAATCACATCCATCCTGCCCTCAGAGCCTCCAAGGATTCTGGGAGGTGCACAGGGCCGGTGAATGTCCCCATAATGCAGATCAGGACCTGGAAACCAGGGAGGCCTGAGTGGCTCAGGGCCACTGTGGTGAGGTCTGTGTCTCCTGACTTGGGTCTTCTCCAGGGTCAACCCCAGATTTTCTGTGCAGCCCCTCCTGGGTGCAGCCAGGTGCCTGGTGGTGACAGCACCACCAGGGGGCAGCAGGTACCCATGGCATTATTGGCGGGCAGCTGCCTGGGTCCTAGACCTGGCCGGTCCTCTTGGCCCGAGCATGCAGGCCAATGACAGTGAGGACAGAGGCCCCCTTCTTGCTGAGGGAGCCACCTGGGGAAAGAGACATTTAGTGCATCAGTGCCCCGTGCTCCAGGCGAGGGCTTGGGAGAGTGGGCAGTTCTTCCTCTCTGAGCCCTTTCTGTCCCACCACCGTGGGAAGCCTCTGGATAATTTATCCGTCCATTCTTCACAAGCAAGTCCGGTGGGAGCGGTATCTCCCCACTCTAGAGCCGAGGGGTCAAGGCTTTGCAGGAGGAGGCATCAGCGCAGGCTCTCAGATGGGGCCGGAGGGGCCGGCTCAGGTTTCACTCCTGGCTTTCTGATTTCTCAGGGAGATGCTGATGGGTCCAATCTGCTGCCCCATCTTCCTCCGGTGAGCAAGGCTCTCCCTCTTGCCCTAAAGGTGCCCACTGCTGCTTCCTCGGGGAAGGGCAAGAGACGGGAGCCGCCGGCTCACCTGTCACCTGGCCTGAGTTTACCGCTGCAGGCCAGACCCTAAGCGGGGACCCCCTGCTTCCACTTCAAGTGGAGAAGGGGCGAATCTGACTCTCTGCAGAGGCTAATTTCCAGGACAGAAGCCCCATCGGAGGCCCTGGGCCCAGGGGACCCTCTCTGGGCTCCCTCCTCGCATCCCCCTGTTCCGGCCCCTGCACAAGGAAGCCAAGGGGTAAGGGGTCCGGGGGCTGCCCAGTGCTGCCCCAGCTCGTACAGGCCCAGGATTCCACCGGAGTCCAGGGTGGGAGCCCTCAGAAACTGCACCCCAGCCTCCGGGGCTGAGCTAGTCTCAGAGAAGGGCTTGGACTTGCCCGGGGTCCCCCAGTGAATCAGCAGTGAACACCCGCGGTTCCTGGCAGCTGAGCCAGGATCCATATAATTTCAATTGCAGAATCTGTTTGTCCTTGAAGCCCCTCCCACCGTCACACGTTGCCAGCTGGACAGAATGCGCCCCCACCACCCAGGGTGTGGCCCAGAAGGGAGATCAGGGCGGATCAGCACGGGGGCCGGCTGCGACCCTGGGCCGGAGAGCACCTTCCTGCTCTCACTTCTGTCACGCATTCCGTCCTGGACGCCAGGAACTGCCCGCTGGGCAGCTGCGAGTGGCCAGGACTCTGGGCCAAAAGCTGGGGAATCCTGGCCTTTATGCAGCGTCGGGGGGTCTTCCTGTGGGCCCCCGGCCAGGGCGGAGGACAGGAAGAGGGCTCTGGGAGTCCTGGTCCGTGCGCCTTCGGCCTCAGCCTCGGGTATCCCGCTGGGGCGGCTTGATGGGCCAAGGGGGCTCAGGAAGCTTCGGCCCAGCCCGGTGCCCCCTCCCGAGTCTGTCATTTCCGAACGGCCATGCGAGGGCGCCCAGCGCGACAGGGACCACCTCCTGCCCTCCACGGAGGCCCAAAGACACCCAGGAGGGACGCCCGGCCATCACTCCAAGGGCGCGGTCGCTCCCCCATGGAGAAGGGCTCCCCAAAGTCCGAGCGCCCTCGGAGAAAGTCGCCGGGACCCGGGCCTTCGCCTCAACCCCCGCCCACCGCAACTTTCGCGGGCGGTACCGGGGCAGGAAGTGGGGGGG